TTCATTCTATTTTTTTCGATAATTTTTTGTAAAAATATAGTTTATACTACTTCAAACAACATAAAAATAAAATCTCTAAACTTTGTGCAAAACTCACTAAAATTCAATAAATTTACTTAAATTTTGTTGAAAAAACTTTGTATAGAAAAAACTGCGTGAAAACATTTTCACAATAAAGCAATTTTTTTAGTAATTTCAAACTTTCACTTTTTTGTAAGCTTAGATTAAAAAAAAAAATCGGAATAGGAAGTTGCAAATTAGTATGCAAATTTATTGAATTTTCCTGAGTTTTGCACAAAGTTTAGAGATTTTATTTTTATGTTTTTTGAAGTAGTATAAACTATATTTTTCCCAAAAATTATCGAAAAAAATAGAATGAAAAACTTTGCATATATTGCGAAAAACACTATTTTCTTCGTCATTATATAAGTATATGTGTCTCATAATTTTTCGCATTTTTAAAAATACTTTTAAAAAGGATTGACTTTCAACAATAAAAGCTTCTCGAAGTTATCATCTGACAGCGATCCACGTCGAGGTGCATTTAAAATCGTTGCCGAAGAGAAAAGTCTTTCAACTGCCGCTGATGATGGCAATGGTGTGTTGAATTTAAGATAACACTTCTTCAACGACGGGTACTTGCATAGCATTTCAATATCAGTGCTTGGGTCTGAGATATAATTGCAGTATTCTCTTTGCGACTGACTAATAACATTAGCAGACGGCGTGACTTCATCTAAAATTGTTTCAGAAATAAAATCATTTGTGATAATGTTATGACAGTTTATAATATTTGATGCATCTATCTTATACTATGTCTCCATTGAGAGATTTATCCATTAAGATTTAATAAATCCAGTTGCTAAATCACAACCGTCTCCATTACCACAACGAGATATGTTTGACGTTCACATTTTTAAATATTTGACGTTTGCTTATGTATGATTTTATAAATACAGTTGCGGACATTGATATGCAGACGGATAAAAGGAAGGTACCAAGCGGAATTTCATTATATGAATTCTGAATATTATTGGGTTTAAATCCGTGGTAAATATGTATGTATAATATATAGTTTAGAAAGTGTAAAGAATGGTACCATATTCCGAATCATTTTCCCGAATTTAAAAAAATTATCAAAACGGTAAAAAACATTTGCGGAAAGAAAAATTTGTGTAGAACTCTCTTATTCATAGGAGGGAACCGAAAATCCAATCGTGGGCCTTTGGCATATCATGAATACGAACTGAGTTATAGCGGATGTTCGGTGCAATGTTATCGGAGCAGAACCATTACCGAAATTTATAAATTTTTTGTCGCAGCGCGTAAATGACTTATAGAAAGCGGAGAAGACTCTGCATGATATTACTATAAAACATTTCTTCTAAATTTTTAGTTTTTAATATAATATTTTCTTAATTTATTACAACCAAAGTTATGTAAATATATATTACTAATTTTCCTCCCAAACTAACAAAAAACCCTAAAAATACGAAAATTCATGTTTTTATGATAGGCTAGATTTCAATGTCCTCAACTGTATATTGAAAACACAAATGTCATTTGACTTATGGCATGTGAATTTGTGGTTGCCACATCCAACAAATTGTACTTATTGATCAATATTATCGAAGATTTGACGAAGATTTAACTTAAATCTACTGCCATTCGAGATTTAATTTAATATGGTAAATCTCAAAAGATTTAACGTCAAATCTCGTCATAGGGCTAAATCTTCATTAAATATCACAATGGAGACATAGTATTATTAAACATAATTCTTAATTACTTTTGCGTCCAAAGTCGAAAAAGTTTGCACGTTCACATATGCTAACAGTTGTAGGAATTATATCCTTGGCACACTCAGTTGAAATAATTTTTCTGACCATATTGCTCAATTCCGCTACTTTCGCGTCGCTGAATTCTGGATTAAGAGCATTAACCCATTGAAGTTTCACATCGGGGCATAATGCAGAGGCAGTTATAGCATCACTCACATCTTCCTTAAGTTCGAAGTATTTCTTAAATCTTTCTTTTATCGCGTCAGTCAAAGAGGAAACTATTTGGCAAAAATATACGAGTCTTTCAGCTTTTATTAAATTATTGTACTTTATAAAAATAGTTGCGAGCGTCGGCAAAAGGTAACCATATACCATTTTTTTATCGCCTTGCAAAAAATCAACTGCATCAGCTAAAGGCTTTAATACCTCCATATACTCATCTAAGTAATCGAATTCATTTTCGTAAAACTTATTTATTTGGAATGTTTCGCATAGATCATTAATTTTTTGCTTATGCGAGCGTAACGATCTTAGGGAGTCGTATGGCGAATTCCATCTAGTCACTACCGGGTATTTTAGCTGACCTCCCAGAATTGCTTTTATTTGTTCTGAGCTTTTTGGTCGATTTACTTTGCTCCATAAACTGGAACACTTCGATATTATCTATTTAAAAATACCAAAATATAGAAATTTGAAGGTTTAGTAGAGAGACGAATACATTTGTACGATGGTTACTCTAATATTTTCTTTTTTCGAACGGAATTTATAGCTCGCGGTGGAATGCAGCATTAAAAACATATCCATGTTCCTGTGCAATAACGACACAATTCCAAATTAAAAAAAAAAAAAACGGTTACTACTGTTAAGCGGCTCATGTCTCTAATCCTTGTTGAATCCATGTCTAATCTTTTGTAACTACCTTAGCAATCCTTACTGCTTCCTTTAGTAAGGGATGGATATGGATTATACAAGGATTAGAGACTAGAGCCACTTAATAGTAGTAACAGTTTTTTTGTGTAGCACTGTATGTGTGTTCGTATATAAAAACTTACAGCATTATGTTTTTCAAAAATTGAAGGGTGTTTTTTCAAAATGCTAATAAAATCGTTCGATGCCAAAAGATTAATGGTATGCGTCGCGCATTTAATGTGCTTTGGAAGACAACTTTCATATAAATGACTTGAAAAATCGCTTGACTCAAATACGTCTTCTTCAGAAGTGTTCTCGACTCCAAATTCTTTAAATGCTTTTATAAAATTAGATCCGTTATCGGTTATAGTGGCTATTACGTTATTACAATTTAGTCCAAAGTTAGCATGAATATCCATAATAATATCGTTAATTTTGTCGTAAGAATGGGACCCTTTAAAACGGTGACAAGCCAGTGCAACAGACTTCCTCTCGAAAGAATTTGATAGCCAATGGCACGTGTAGCCAAAAAAACTGCGATGTTTGGTACAAAAATACGATTGATTTTTCAGCTCATTTTTAATTTTTACTATCATTGATTTATAACAATCATCAATTCGTTTTGTAGCCGTTGTCCTAGTCATTAATTTTGCTTGGGGATTCAAAAATGTAACAAACTGTCTAAACGTTTTATCTTCCACAATAGATATTGGAAGCATGTTATTCGCGATAACTTTTACTGTAAGGTTTTGAAATATGGTATCGCTATATTGCCTTTTTCTTGAACTGTAAGACTTAAATTGCTCATATTCTGCTAATTGTTGAGGATGCTTTATCCGTAAATGGCGTACGAAATTCGAAGTCACTTGAAATGATCCTTGTAGTTTAGTTGTGCAAAAACGACATTTTACAAGTACACCCCCACGTTGCTTGTGATAGTCAGTACTATCTAGCTGTATACAGAAAGGAAGGAAAATATTATATACTGTTTCTTAGTGTTTCTTAATGTTATTAATATTAATATTACTATTATCATTGCTACAACTACTACTACTCCTACTACTAATACGTATTATTACTATTATCTATATATATAAATCGCGAATGCATTTCTTGTTAATGCCTTCAGATCAATTGAAATTGTTTTGAAAAGGTTTTATCTCTAAAGTACATATACATATATAAGAGTGTTGCCCCATGTCAAATTCAACTTCATCAGTTGATTGAAATATGTAGCACAATCTCCAAAGAGATTTAAAAAGGGTTTAGTTTGAATATACTTTTGAAGAGGATTCCATATGTTTGAAAAGTCAAAGTTAGTTATCTTATACACAAGATATTTGAAACATAGAGATATGAATGAATACGTTTGAAAATATTTTGATTATGGCGGCCACTGAAACTGTCTATATGTACATACATATATGGGTATGGTATGTACAACGGCGCACAAGTAATTTCATTGACTAAGTGCGTATGTACATATCATTAAATCGTTAATAGTACCCTTTAGATATGAGTCGGGGACTAATTGATCTCCATTAGTACCCGTATGAGACTAGTTGCGACTAATTAATGCCAAAATGTACCCGATTGAGAGTAATCTCGGAATACTCTCTTTAGAGCTTAGTCGCACAATTTCTTGCAGGGTGTGTACACATGCACATGCACTATACACATACATACACAAGACCATTGTCATCTTATGTTCAAAGCTAAAACTTTTTCTTATCGGTTATTAAAATTAGAGAAACCGAACCATACGAGACCTCCTCTTTACTCAGAAAGGACTGGACGAATTTCCATGGAATTTAGCACACTTGAAATATTTTTTAGGATTTTGAATAGCGTTGACACTTGTTTAAACAGTTAAATTAAATTTGAACGCCATATGTGTTCACTAGTTACTAATTTTAGATACTATTATAAACAATTTGAATATTGATGAAGTAATTTGCCATTACATTCATACCTTCTGGATAATTTCAAAATATTGTCCAAACAACTCTTCCTGTGCATATACATCTTTTGTCGTACTCCCGTTATTGGAAGAGGTAGTTTGTGCAAGCTCTTGAGTGGACGCCTCGGAGTTATCCTGCACTGCTTCCTCTACAATTACTTCCTCCCAAGTTGTGGTTTGGGAAGCTGATAGTTCCTCTTCAAAAATGTAATTCATTCCCACCTCAAAACATTGGTACGTAGTATTTTCCGGTTGGTTTATTTCATCGCTTAAAGACATTTTTCTTCTGAGACGCAAAATTTGAGTGTTAATTTTTATTTCTTGTGACAGATGTAAGAAAATTTTCAGTATTAAATTTTTTGATTTTATATGATGTATGTATGTGTGTATGTACGCAAGGCGAATTTATATAAGGTGGTGTTGTTTCGTCAGCTGTGAGTAGCGGGTGATTGTCAAAATTTTGTATTTCGCTAGTGAGTGAGTGAAAACGTGAGAGAATAGCTGAAACTTGACAATGGTCCACTTAAAGCAAAAACAAAATACAAGGAATTGTTGTATTTGTTGAATCGATACCACCTTATATAAATTCGCCTTGTATGTACGTAAAATTTGTATGTAAATTTATACAAAAAACCATTTGAGTACTAGATTACTTCAACAGCTTTATTCTGCATAGCAAGGCGAATCTATACAAGGTGGTGTTACTGTCGAATTTAGATTTCCGCCGCGGTCCTTCTGAAATGCGATTCTATTACAAAAGAGAAACCCATTTTGAAATATGAGTGTTTTTATTGTCTACAAAATAACTGACAGACGCGGTTTTGTACTTTAATCGACAATATGAACATACATATGTGTGTATAGCTCAGTGATTAGCGCTTCTGACTTTGCACATCGTTGATGAATTATTTTTAAAAGGTAAATGTAATACAACTGTTTTCTATATAATCCCAATTTTTTGATATAAAATCCCCTCTTCCAAAAAACTTAAGTTGGGTAACACCGCTTCGAATTTTTACAATTGAGCAATTGTCAAAAATCTGCCTTTTTATCAAAAAGTAGTTTACCAGGGTGTCTTTGAACTAATGATTGGTACTGAAGTAAAGAATGCACACACATAAAAGATTGCAGCCTTTTAAGTACTCATTCAGTGTTAAACCTTTTTTTGATTGGGCATTGGTTTTTTCAATCTTGCTATGAATATGTTGATGTGTGAATTCATAACTGCTTTGAGTGAATGGAAAATTTAAAAATTACAAACCTCAATCTTAAGCGAAGAGGAAGTAATTTATTTATTTATTTGTTACAGTCTTGCGACTTAAAAGTACAGATAGGTATTTTTAATATATAACAAAGTATGCGTATATGTAAGTTTAAATTTTCAATTACAAAGCTGTTTATGTTTCTAAAACTATCAAATAACCTATATAAATGTATATTGTCTAACTAGTTTGGTAGCTGGCGAGGCCTAGTCTCCAGTCTACCTTTAAATATGTACTATGTGCAGCAGGCGGAAAGACCTTGTTTCCGCTCCGCGTTGCTCACGAGTTGGTAGTCACGGTCGGAAAGGCCGAGTCTCCGATCCATGTTCCCGTCGTCATTAATATGCAAACCCTGACGCTGGATTCCGTGATGTGAGGCGGGCGGAAAGGCCTAGTTTCCGCTCCGCGTTATGGTCGGGCTGTTGGGCATAGTCGGAAGCTTTCGTATGCTAGATCATTTGCTGCTTGGTCGGATGGAAAGGCCTGGTTTCCATTCCGTTCCGTGCTCTCCTACCAAATAGCCAGAGTTTTACAGTGATCAAATAGTTGTCTTTTAAAAGCAACAAAGTTATCACAGTCTTTAACATGTGGCGGTAACTCATTAAAACACTTTAAACCTTTATAAAATATATTTTTTTTGTCTACCTCTGTTCTATAAAGTGGGAGTCTAAAGCAATTGTTTTCCCTGAGTATATATGAATGAGTTTCATTTATATACCGAAGATTGTCGCTCAGATAGTCTGGAAGTTTACCGTTCTTTATGTTGTATACGAATTTCATAGCATGATAGAAAACCTGTTGCTTAACACTCAACCAATTCATATCTGTGATCATCTCCTGTGTAGGTGTATCGTAACGCTTATTTAATATGAACCTCATAGCTCTATTTTGCATTTTTTGCAATTTCTCGATATTTGCGTCGCTTGCTAAGAAGAAGATTGTTGGGCAGTATATAAAATGTGGTTCTACTATAGATCTATAGACCAGGGTTTTATACCTTCTTCTCAGATACTTACAAGATCTTTTCATAAGACCAATTTTTTTCGCAATTTTGTTCACTGTATGCTCAACATGCTCATCAAATTTAAGTTTATTATCTATATATATACCCAGGTACTTAATGAGTTTAACTTCCTCAATTTCTTCCTCTTTGATTTTTAAATTGTAACTGGTGGTTCCAAGATTAACTGCTCTAGTGAGGATCATGAACTGTGTCTTTTTTACATTCAACTTAAGTTTATTTAAACACAACCATTTGTACAAAGAATCCAAGTCTTCTTGCATTTTAGTCATCGCAGTCTGTAAGTTTCTGTCACTGATCGTTAACAGTGTATCATCAGCGAACAGTTTTAACTTACAGTGCTTGAGTGCCATATTAATGTCGTTAATGTAAATATTAAAAAGTACTGGGGCCAATACCGATCCCTGCGGCAACCCAATATTGACTGCCACTTTATTTGACACACTTGACTCGATTACAGTTTGTTGCATACGATCTGAGAGAAAGCTTCGAAACCAGTTAAGCTCCGTGTTTTTAATACCAATGCATTCGAGCTTTTTCAACATTCTTGCCCTGTCAATGGTCTCGAAAGCTCTTTTGAGATCAATAAAAACCGCAACGATATTCATCTTCGAGTTAAGGTCTTCCTTCCACTGGGATATAACAAAATTTAGCGCAGTCTCGCAAGAGTGTTTAGCTCTAAAACCTGATTGCTCCTTAATGAGTATGTTATTACTTTCAATGTGGCGCGCCAACTGATTTTTTACCACATTTTCCAAGATTTTTTCCATGCTAGGCAGTGTATTAATTGGTCTAATTTCCTCGGCTTTTACAGTTTTTTTCACTTTTTTTACCGGAACTATGGTCGAGATTTTCCATTCTTTTGGTACTGTTCCTGATTCAAGACTCTTATTTATTAATAAGGCATAAAAGTGTCCCATGTATTCAACTGAATCCTTTATAACACCGTCAGATAATAAATTATTTCCACCAATTTTAGTCTTAAATTTCTTCGCTATAAGGACAACATCCTCTGAGGTAATTTTCTCAAATTTAAAGGTGCCTCGACTGTCTTCCTGTCGTAACTGTTCACAGTTTACGTTCTCTATATTACTATTTATGTCGACGATACTATCCACAAAGTACTTGTTTAGTTCTTCGGCGATTACCATACTATATCTGTATATTTTTCCGTTGATGAGAACTTCTTTGATATTGTCTCTGT